ACACACACACACACACACACACACACACACACACTCCCCAAATGCTCAAGAATCACCTTCCATCACCGAATTCTTCTCAGAGAAAGATATGGGACATTTTGGTGAATTAAAGACACAAGCTCCTTTCTTAATTAATCTGCATATTTTCTCTCTCTTATCACTGGGGCTTGAGTTGTTTTCTGATTTGCATTCCCACAAGATTTCCCTCCAGGGGAGCCACCATACCTGCCACCTCTGCAGCATTGTCTTGTCGAAGCTGGGGTATTTCCTGTGGGATAAAAAATTATGGTGGTCACCAAATATTCCAAGGCATACACATGAGTGAGGAAAGGGGGGGCTTTCAGCAACTTCAGGGGGCCAGGGCACTCAGGAAAGCCCGGGGCTTTCCAAAGCACATGGAAGCTCTCAGGCACTAGGACAGTGAGAACACTGTCCCACCTTACCCAAGGTTAGGTTCTTGTGGTAACTGTCCCTCTCCTAAGACTCCAGCACATGCTGCTGCCTTAACTGTAGCTTTTGAAGACACTCTCTGGGCTTGCAGAAGAAGGTTCAGGGCCCTTCCTCCCAACCCACACTGGATTTCYCACAGCCACATCTCAGCCTCCCTTGGCCCCTACCCCATCTTTGGACATTGAATATAATATAGCTGTGTGGTTTAAAAAATGCAAACACCATGGAAGACCATGAAATGTAAGATGAATCTCCAAACTACTGCTTCTCCTAAGGAAGTATCCACAGTTAATGGTTTCTGGTATATCATCCCGAAAAGTTTTACCCGAATGCCTGCCTATATGCTTGCATTGTTTTATTTGTAATTGCTCATACCTGGAATCATACCACACCTACAATTCTCCTTGTTGCCTTACTTGCTCAACAACACTCCTGGAGATCAGCTCATATTGCTCTATTGAGTTTGTTTCTATAGCCACAGGATACCATTACACAGGATGCCATTGCACAGGATACCACGGCGTGATCATAACTGACTGACCTGCCACCCTGGGGCTGGCGTTGTTCTCTGATGTTTCCATGACCATCTTTGGAAATAAATTTCTGGCACTTTTGTGAGTATACCCATGAGATAGATTTCTCATAAAGAAATATGAGGGTTTTCAATTTTACCATTTAATGCCAAATCATTCTCTTAAAGGCCGTACCAATTTATACTTCTACAATAAAGGCATACAATTTGAACCAAGGAAATATTATTGTTGGCTGATCTGAAGGAAARAGTACAAAATTATAGCAAAGTACAATGTTGGGAAGGGCGTGGGGAAGGAGCCCTCTCCACTTGAAATGTCCTTTTCATTCAGCAGGGATTTGCAGAATCCAGTTCCTCAGCCTCCACAGTGCTCTTTGTTTCCTTTTCCAACTGTTTCCCCCTACTTCTGTCTCCATGAGACATTCCTGCCACTCCCAAGACTGGGTCTCTGCTTAGTATGTTTCACCAAATCAAATCAAATCAAATCACACCTCTTTATTCTATCCATTCTCTCTTCCATAGTTTGTATAGATTCCCACAGACCCCATCCCCCTACACACTCCATGCATCATGCCAGGCCTGTCAGGACCCCACCCAGACCCCAGCCTATACAAGCCTGGATGCCCAAGTGTCCCCAGAAGACCACAGCTCTTCATCTTGCCATTCAGCTCCACCATCATATCATCTGTCTTGAGTTGCCCATCTGTCTGCATTCAATTCTGTCCTTGGCAGATTTTCCGTAATCAGAAAGTAACTTCAGGGTTGGAATTCCCCTCTTCCTCCCCAACAGAAAAAAAACATCTATTTGATCCTTTTCTTTTTCCAGGAAAGCAATATCCAGAATAACAAATAGAAGAAATAATATAGTCCAATTTAGGGTGCTAGTTGCAAAGCGGGGGGGGGGTGACATGTCAGAATCTAGGAAATGAGAACAGCCTATTCTCCCTTTAAAAAAAGATTCTAGAATTTTACCTGTGGTCATTTGTGATGTTGCCATCAGGTGGAATGCTGTGTGGAATAAAAAGGCATTTCCCATCCCATTTCTCATATCATTGGCTGTGGATTACAAGGAAGAGCCACCATTTCTGGTACCATTTACCATTTGGTGCCAAGACATCTAACCAAATGTGAGTCCTACTTTTTTAAAATTCTTTTATTTTTTAAATTATATTAATCTGAGAAAAACTAAAGAACTCCTGAAATGGTCATGGGAATATCATAAATATCTGGTAAGTAATGAAAAATATTTCTTTAAGAGGTGGTAAACTGCATTGTCCATCATTATCAGGTACATTTTAGATTAAACAARATATCAGAGAGGGCTCTTGGCTTTCTAAGCCCCCCTGAGTTTTGAGGGAATCAGCGCAGCAAAGAGTTCTGGATTTGGAGTTAGGAAAACCTGGATCCAAATTGAACTTCTACCAGTTGACTGGTGGACCTTGGACAAGACACCAACCCTCTCTGAGCTGCTGTAATCTCATCCTTCCAGCATGCTGACCACAGACAAGTATGATAGTGGGTCTAGAAAAGACTAGTACAGGTTCGGGCACAGAGCTTCCTCAATAGTTGATATTCTGGCAGATTGTTCAAGATTGAGGGATATTCTTTTCTACTCTGGGAGAAAGAAGAATGTGATGGCAAGAATATGGGCCTGTTTCTGGTCAACACCTGCTCAGTTCTGCCAAGACTTTTCTGGGCAATCTTGGAATAACTGCAACCTATGAATCAGATCTTCTGCTTTGTCCACCTGGTAGGCACCATGTGAAAGGCATTTCCGGGGTTTGCTGGGGAGTCTGTTCTGAGTTATAGGACAAGCAAGCATCTGGGCCCTTGGGCAACTTGGAGTCAAGTTTAAAAGAACAAAAGAACTCAAAGAAAGCCAGTGAGACTAGGGAGGTTATTCTGCCTAGGTGCCAGGCCTGGGTTTCACAGAGGACATCCTCTCAACCCCTCTACCTGCTTCTCATCTCCAGACATCACTGTTCATCCTCTGCTGGATAGTGTCCCAAAATGAGAAGACAATCTCGGTAGATAGATCAGTTCAAATTCTTATTCTGAGGGATGATTTTGACCCATTCGGCTTTGTTGGTGATCATATCTATGACCTTCATGTCTGAGAAGTGCTTAAGATATAAGCACTGCTGCCAGGTGGCCTTGGGACCTTTCTGACATCCAGCACCATAGTGTTGGTGCCCTTGGTTGGTCTCATGGTTGTGTTTTGACTGCTTCCTTGGAGCAGCTCCACCTAACCAACACCTTCCATGGTCCCTGGAAGCCAGGCTTCTGGAATGGATGGCAGTGAAGAGTGAGCCAAAGGCCCATCTCCCAAACTCTCATCTTCCCTAGTGTAGCTGGCAGCAGCCTATAAGTGGGCCTTGAGAGGCAGCAGGTTAGTTCCCAGACCAAATGGCCTTTACCAAGGGACTTGTCTGAGGCTGTACCCTCCCGACCCAGGAGAGATGCTGGGGGTCTCTTCTACTTCTCCCCATTATCTCTGCAACTAGTAATCTAGGTCTAGCCCAACCTGGAAAACATCAGAGCAAGGCCAACAGATAAACCTGGGCTTCTGAGCTAAAATAGACAATTCTCCATGTCCCTCTTCCTCTCCACATTTGTYACCTATTTGAAAAACAGTTATGAGGATGTGGTGGAATGGATTAGTGAGTGGCGGAGGGACATGATTCCTAAGCTAAGAGGTATTCAGAAAACAAACCACAATGAGAAGAAATGTCATTCATCTTGTGAAACTGGAAATGCATGTCTGCTAGTGGGTTTGGGCTAGGATGAGGAAACCTAAAGAAATTGCCATTATTTTCATCTACTATGAGGGAATAGGTTGAGGGTGAGGAAATGGTATACAGACCAGGGAAATTATTAATTGATGCCCACCCAAAGATCCAGCAGAGCAGATACCTGTGAATGACACATTGAGCTGCTCACAGTTCCTGCAAGAAATTTGACCAAGGGCCCTGACTCTGAAGACCAAGCTTTTTTCTTAGAAGGGGGAAAAAAACAAAACACAAAAGAAAGAAAGAAACAAGCAAAACAATACAAACACACATAAAAAAAAATCTTAGTTTTGATTGCATTAAAAATCAGCTACCTGAAAATGACAGTAATTGGCATATATTTGTTGWTATTCAGTCAAAAAATGAGCATTAGTAAATTTACCAAATTGTTTTTGCATGATTCTGTAGATGTATTAACCAGTCAGGGTGTTTTAATAACATAAAGTTATATCTAGCTGCTAAAATTACAAGTGTCTTTAATTTTTATAAGGGCTTACATAACTGTTTAACAACATATTTATCTTCTTATGTATTATTTCTCCTTTAAAATATTAACTTTAATTTTGCTGATTTGAGTTTTAAGATTTTCATGCTGTTATTTTCTAATTTGAATTATACATTTTTATGTATATTATAATTAGAAATATACTGGGCTTAGAATTTTGACTAATTTTTAATTTTCTAGATATCTCTATTTGATAATTCAATAACTGTACAAATTAAGTCATTTATTTTATTCTGGGACTAAAAATATAAAATAGTGTTGTTCATACATTCAAAGTTTTTATAGTTGTCTTCCTTATTTAATTTTTTTTAATATTACTAAATTAAAGTTATTCTATTTTGCTTTTTTTTTTTTTTGGTACTTTCCAAAAGTTTTGTTGCCTGGATTAATTTTGGATTTAAAATTATTTATTTATCTTCTAATTATTTTATTTCTTTTCTTGTTCATGTCTGATCTAAAACAGACACTTCTCCATGTGGAGAMAATTAGAGCATTTTTTAGATTCTAATTCTACATATGCAATTTCTAATTTTTCTAAAATGTGATTTTATTATCTGCATAATAACACTGATAGTTCACTTGTTTTGTTGATTTTCTCAATTACTGGAAATTTAACCTAAGAGGAAAAAATGGAAAAAAAGGAGTATAAATGCACAAATGTATTCACTGCAGCTTTCTTTATTCATGATATTGGCACTTTGAAAGCAATAAGAAAAGTCAAATGCAAAGAGAAACTGGGAGAAGTAATTAAATTCAAGTAAATGAACATACAACAGACAGCCCTTCCAAAATCAAAGAGCAGGAAAAAGAAAAAAAAAAATGTGGTCAAATCAGAAGGAAGTCTGGTGATGTTTTGCGGCTGAGTGCTATTACTTGTCCTTTAAAAGGGACCTTTGCAGCTTTGCCCTTAATGTCCACCTTAGACAGGTGGCATGGAACTCTTCTTTGTCCCAAACCTTCTTGCTGTGTGAACCGGAGGAAAAGGCCAATTT